CAATGAATGGCTCCACCTAGCAAATCTATTGCATTTTCAAAACAGAGAAAAAGGGGAAATCTTTTAGCGTCTCATAAAAGTTAAAATAACAATGAAGAGATCAAGAAATAGCTCATAATCGATAACTACGCCTCAATCTCAAGCATGTAATCACTGGCTCTATGAATCCTTACTGTGCATGTCACTCCATTAAAACTCGTCTTAGTCATATAGTATAACTATATCTAAAAAGAAAAATTGTACTCCATTTGAATAATATAACTACATCCGCTGATGCATAGAAGTAGAACTTACATGGTCATCCATGCTTGTTTTCCGTTGTAGACAATGGCAGCACCTACACTTCTAGCAGGGTTAATGCCAGTGCCTTTAATAGGGATGCTGGCCAAATGAACCAAGAACACAGCAAATCCAATCGGGAGAGGAGCCAAAATCTACAGAACACAACAATGAGTTGGTATACAAATTTAATTAGCTCAACTATAAATCTAAAGCACAAAACGAGAAGTCAACTATAAGTACTCACAGGGAAATGGGAGTGTCTGGCATTTCTCTGGGCAACAGTAGCAGAGAAGACATTGCAGACAAGAATAGAAGTGCCAACAATCTCATCTCCCTTGGCATAATCATGTCTCACAACATTGGCACCTCGGCCCTTAATCTTAAAAAGATGGTTGGAACCCTTTGAGAACACCAACACCACAAATCATACCAAGGCATTGCATCACAATGTAGAAAACTGCCAAGAATTTTCTCAAGGTCAGAACACAAAGAATAAATTTAGAAGTACATAAGTTATATGCACTGGTAGTATAAACACTTCTTGCACTATTAGTGTAATTAAACCTATGTAAGCACACTATTTACCAATTTGACTAGGTTGCCATTTAATTTTTATCAAAGAAATTACTTGTGACTACCTTATAAGTAATCTGATCTTGTGATAGAACTTAAAACTCAATAAAAAACAATTCTCCATGATCTGGCCATCTTTGGCTAAGGTACTACTTAGAACTTAATCCAGCTCTATCAGAAGGAAATATCATTAGAATATCTAAAAAGATCATAAAAAGTAACAACATTGCATAAAAAAAAGAATCTTTTATCCTCCAAATGGTCCAAAAGGGAAGTGTTAATTGTGTTGTAATGCAAAACTCCAGAGGAAACTTTAGACAAAGAAACTCAAAAAAATCTGGTAAAGAATGCAACTTGATAGATTTTCCTTGTTCATTAATTAAAAAAACACATTAAAGTTCTTATCTTTGAAGTAAAATATCACTAATAAAGCTAAACACACAATCAATTTAGGAGAATACATAAACTATGGAGGTCTCTCATCTTTGAAGCAAAATATCACTAAAGAACATGATAAAAGAGACTATCAACTTTGAAAATAAACACACAACTTTAGACAAATACATAAACTATGGAGGTAAAAAGAGTCAGAAAAATTAGATGCCAACAGTGCAGTAAACAAGGGCAAAAATCATACCACCAAAACCCAAGCAATGCCTTGAACACCAACAATTAATTCTACATGAGCAATTAGCTCTTGGGTAACCCATAAATGCGTGTGAATTTATGAATATGTACTTGAGAAAAGCTATCTCAAGCGTCTTATTTGATTATCCTCTCTCTTTTTCCATATTGTATTCCCTTTTGCCTCTTCTCTTTCCCATTAAAAATGGTGTACTGGCACATTGGTTTATGCACTCATATTTTACCACTCTCTTCTTAATATATTATATTAATTACTTCCTCCTTTTTTTATATTACTTGATCATAGCATATTATTATGACATTTTATTTTTAGAAAACAAAAATATTTTTTTGCTAAATTAATCTTCATTCGATACTAATTTATTCATCTTTCTTTGTTCACTATATTATTTTATAATGTCTAATAATATTTATCCAGTCTAATAAGATCAATGAACACTTATTATTTTATGTCTATTTTACTCCTGCGATTAAATATTGTTCATTTTTCAATATTTAGAGAGAATGATTTATACTTAATAAGGGTGATTGGGAAAAGACATAAAGTCATCTCTAAAATTGTTCGGTATTTGCATAAAAACACTTTAACTTTGGATAATATATTTGTAAATTGGCCGTTTTGATCCATTTTCTCGCATGGGTTGTTATCACGCAAATGGGGCGCGTGACCTAATTTTTTTACTGTTATAACCACCTATAAAGTGTCAGGTGTCATTATATTTCTTTAATATTGATTATTTAATTAATTTACATCATCTTCCCCATTATCTTCTTCACCCAAATTCAAAATCCAATTACCTTTTCTTCATCTTCTTCAACTTAGAAGATCCATTTATTTCATCCATTATAATCACTTTTTTTCTTGTCTCTTGCTTTTCTTTGTTTCTTTTTCTTCTTTTATCTATTTTTTTTATAAAAAAAAAAGCAGTCCATTGATTAGAGAATACTATGAAACTCCATCTCTTTTTTTGTCTCATTACGTTGCTTTAGTAACTTGAGAGTTGAATTGATTTTATTTAGTTATGTTTTGATGACGAAAAAAGTGTTGTAACATGGAAGCATCATGGAGGTTACATTAAAGGTGACTATGGCTGCTACTTTTGGAGGATTTACAACAAGAATAAAAGATTTTGAGTAATGAAGATTTAAGAAAAAAGAGGGAAAAAATGAAAATAAAGTTAATAAAAATAGAAATGATAAAATGAAAATGAAAATGAAACTAAAAATTAAAAATTAAAAGTACTTAATACGTGTCAAACAATTATTGGTGCGTGATTGTACCTCTTTTCTTGCAATTGGGGTTGGGTAAGAAATGAGATATTTATAACACTCTTAAATTGTTCAATGGAAAAAATAGGACACCCACAAAGTGAAGGTGTCTTTTTGAAAAATTCGAGACAACTTCAGTGATAACTTTATGTTTTTTCTCAACAATTTACTAATTCTTAATATAGGGGTGTGCAAAAATTGAATCGATCAATTATAGTTAATTGATTTTAGTTTTTTCTTTTTTAGTCTTATTGGACTATTTGATTCTAATTTTACTTTGTAAATGTAGGTTGTAGCTTTTGCAACTTTGTAAAGGTTTGTAATTTGATCAACATAAGAAATTACATACTATGTTTTAGCGGTGACGTGTAAATTGTAATTATAACCTTCGTACTATATATTTTCTTATTGATGTGATTTCTCATTATCTTTCTTATTTCACTATATCAAAACATTTATAAAAGTGAGAAATCATATAATATTTTACAAATATCTTTTTTTTAATAAATCGAAAATTGAATCGATAACAATCTAAGACCGATAAACCGAAAATCGATAAAAAGTATCCTATTAATTTGTTATTAGGTTAGCATATTTAAAAATAAAAACCGAACCAATCGATACAAACCCCCACTCTACCACCGCCACCACCATCGCACACTTCTTAATTCATATGTCAAGTCAATAATAGATAACTATAGTTCGCCAAAGAGAGCACTAATAATTCAATACTAAGGATAGTATGAGAAAAAGTAATACTCCCTCTTTTCTATTTGATGTGATACATTTCGCATTTTAATATTTAAACAAATATATTTTTGCAATGAATTTTTCATAGATTTTTTTCAACATTTTGAATTATTGATTATTATAACTTAGAGGAGTACTTTTTACATAATTTACAAATATATAAATTCAGGAATCACTAGATGTATGACATATATAAACTTGTTTCACTTAAGCATATGATCAATTGACATATATTTTTGCTTTATCAAATTACTTAATCCGAGTAAATTGGTATAGTTTAATCCATGGTCAGTCTATTATATGATGTTATTGAGGGTACAAATTTAACTTAATGAACGAAGCAATAGTAAATTTAGCTATTACAATCAAAGCTGTTGGATTTCAATGATATTGAAGTATCAAGATGAATTGTAACTTTTCAAAGAGAACTTTTAGATGACGTAGATTTACATTTACTTTAGGCACTTCTTTTACAATTTTTTCAATGGAAGGTCTATTAAAATCGTCTCTCTATTTCTATGGTAGAAATAAGGTTTACATACACTTCAATGTCTTCAAACCTTACTTCATAGGATTACATGTGATTTGTGTATGTTGTTGTAGGGTCATCTTTAGATGAGTCCGAAGCTAAAAGGACAAAAAAAATTACCAAAAATCTCAAAAGGACATATCATATTTTTTTAAAATCGAAAGAGCAAAATCGCTTCTGCCAAAACAATTTCCCTCTGAAACATATGAAAGCCGTCTACTCCGTTAAAAATAAAAATCATTGCTCAGGAAGCAATTTTCTCTAAAAGGTTTTTCATTTTTTTCTTCACAGAGTTTTATTTATTTATTTTAAATCGATACCGTGGCAGCTTTTTACCTTTATTAAAAAAATAAAAAGGCAGCGTTTAACGCAAAAATATAAGAAATTTAGCGTTTACTTTTTTGAAAAAATATTCTCTGCCTTGATAGCGTTTTTTAAAAACTTTTTTTTCTTTTTCTTCAACTTTTCTTTGAGAATCGCTTTTTTATTAAAAAATACTTTAAAAAAAATAAATAGCGGATTAGGCAGCAAAATTCACCCATCCAAATAGAAAAATAAATTTCAGGCTGCGATTTTTTTTAAAAAAAACTAAGTACAGTGAATGCAAATAATGAAACAAAAAATAAAGTAAAATTTCAATGTTTTTTTATATAAAAAAGCTGCCAAAGCGATTTCCTTTTTTTAAAAAAATTCTATGAAATCGCTGTGCGATACTAGGGGGAAATAGAAAAAAAAAGAACTTGGGTTTACTAGGGGGAAATAGAAAAAAAAAGAACTTGGGTTTTAATATTAATAGAGTATACTGAGTTCATGTGTCGAAGGAAAATCAGTAGCAATTTTGCCCTTTTGATTTTAAAAAAAAATATGATGTGCCCTTTTGAAAGTTTTAATAACTTTATTTTTGCTTCAAACTCATCTTTTAGATGCAACAGAATCCTCATAATACCTGCTCTGAGAGAAGTATACTACTCTTGACTGTAAATATTAGTTTGGATATTACATCCATGCAAAGTCCAGACGAGAAATTCTGGGATAAGCTGCATTAAGTTGAACAGAACACACCATATAACCCTTGATCCATTCTCATGAATCATGATATAGGGCAGGAGCAAAATGACTACACCTGGTTTTTCTTATAACTAGAGCGGTTCGAAAAAAAGAGTCTTTAACTGGTAAGACCTACCTGCAACTGATAGAAGCATTTGTCCTACTAAAGTTCCTCCAGGAAAGGCTTGACAATGCCAATTTGACCAAGGGAGTTGCAAAAAAGCTACATTACATATACTAACTACCTGAGCCAGGTGCTCCATCTTTCAATTCACATTTTGACAACTACAGTAGGAGTCGTCTCATCTGCTGCACATTGACGCCATCTAATTGCCATCCCTCTCATCTTTCTTGGCAGTCGCTCCAGGAATATTCTGTTTCACAGGGGTTGTCTCATCATTCCTATCAAGAGATTCAAGCTCTACTTCCTCTGGAATCACAGCAGGAATATTATGCAGCTTAAATGACAGGTATGAAGCATCCTGTAGGAGCTTTCTTTCCTGCAGATACTTGTAAAGTGTAAACACCAAGGGTTAAGGAAACACTTTCCTATGTTTGCAGAATGGACCGGGATGAAGAACAAAATTAGGGCATGAAGGATGAGATGATAAAAGAGGAACATAGGGGTGATCATAGAAAGTAATGCTGGTGACCAAACACAGAGGCTTAATGCCAAATCTGTGCTAAATTTTTCCATCCTTGGGACTGGTTTGGCGTTCTGACAAATACAATAAATTTAGCCACCCAGAAAATAAGGAAAAAAAGGATATTCATCTCTCCATCCTTTCTCATTTGCTCGATCAATTTTTTTTTGCAACACTTCCAGCTCTCGAGCAATCCCCTGGCATTAGAAGGGAAGGTGCATCAGATATTTAGATGTTTCACAAATATATTGATTCAACATAAAAAAGAAACAGGTCGCTAGTATTTTCAAGTTACCGAAACAGAAGCTGGACTATAAATTCATAGAGCTACAAATAATCCAAATCAACAAGGAGTTCCTAAGGAAATAAATTATCCAACTTTAAAAGTAACTTAGTAAGATTGAAACCATACATGCTTTGTGATGTCCTCATGAAGGATTTTAGCTTTCTGTTCAAGCTCCACCTGCAAATAGGAGTCAAAGTTAAGTACTAAACGGGGATTTGAAATTCAGCTGAATCTATAACTGAAAAACCTGAGGAATTGAACTAAAATCTTTTCAGAAATGCTCAAACATTTAATAGAGGTGACACACACAATTTAAAATGGTGTCAGAGCAAGATTTTCTTTTTTCGATTTGAGCCTTACCACAATCCATCACTGAAAAATCCTCCCGCGGTTCAGGGATATATCCATGCCCATAAGTGAGGAGAATGAAAAACCAAATGCAAATTAGATAAAGGTATCCCCTTTCTAGTAGCTTAAGATTTTAAATGAAGTGGTACAAGTCAAACAGACTCTCCATATAGTAAAATGAGAACTACAAAAGCACTGTGTCAGACTGGTAAGCTGGAAGATTCCCTCATTATCTCTCACACTAGGAAAGAAATGTACTGATCCACATAACCCACTATTGAATCATGTTGTTTGGTTGATCTGCAGTAGTGATTTAGATGAACCCATTCAATGTCCAGTTGTACTCGATCTTGTGACCTTCCCACTAATGCAATTCTAAAGTTGTCTTATCTTTTTGGAGAAAAAGAATGTTCATGTAACATGTAGATGATGAGAAAACACTTTTTTTTGAGGTGGTGATGTAGAGTTTGCTCAAAATGAAAGAAGACAATGGGTTTCAGTGATGCATGCTTTTCATTTAGAATAGAAAACTATCAAATGACAGAATAATTAGTGATAGAGACCAGGATGGGAGAAACTAAACCATCAACCTATTCGCATTACATCGACTCATTTTTTCATCAACAACCTAAAATGATAAGGGACAGGGATTATAAGAAGAAGAAGAAGAAGAATGAGAATTCACTGGGCCACTCCAGTAAGCTCCCTATATCTAAGTCTTTCTCAGAAATGGTTAAGAATTGGGTGCCACTAACCCAGCCAAGATCTACCAAGGTTCTAATAGTTCCTTCCCAACAGAGGGATATTTTAGATAGTCACTCTGAGGGAAACGAGCAAGTGGTATGTTGAAAGAAGCATTCTGCCTAAAGATCTGAGACTAAAGAAACTAGCTCCCACTCAATCCATAATGAAAAAGAAATTGGGTTGTTTTAGAGGCAACCAGAACTTGCACTGAGCAGTGTGGAAAGAGAGCACTTTTTGGACAAGTCATTTATATGCTGGAAACAATAGTTAAACAAATTAGAGCTCTCAAACACACAATAACATCTTGACTATGTTTCAACGTAATGGTAATGTGAAACTGCAAGCAAGAAAACTTTACAATTGTAAGCTTTTCAAGCAGACCCGCTTTCACCTTCTCCTGCAGATCATCACATTCTTCCTGAAAAACAGAGAAAAATGTCAAAAACATTGAATTGAAGGGTTAACCACAAAAGCTTCTTGGTAGAGCTTAGTCACTGGGTAGTTCCGCACAGTAAAGATGCTTCTCAAGTATAGAGGAATACATGTGACAGCTTCAAATCAACTAAGGGTGAGATGCTACATTGTATTCTGAAGAAACAAAATACTAGCTTCCATTAAGATATAAACTACTAGAAACTTTCATCATTTTTTTCCTCGGTAATACTCAAAATGATCCTCAGAATTCTCAACTGAAAAGTTAGTAGAAAAGGGAATAATTATAAGGTCTATTTTTTGCATATGCAATTCCCACTAATGTAAAGCCACCAACAGTTGCACAAAAGACTGTCCAATAATATGAGTACTACAATTACACGTGACAGTCCAGCAGCTCTAGAATGCTATCAAACATTTATCGCTTGTGATATTTGAAATTTTTTCCAATCTTATGATCACGCAGAACCTCAGCTTTCACAAAGTTGAGAACATTGGTAACCACATAAAGCCACTCTTCAGTCACTGAATTTGATATTTACCGTAACTAGAAAGCATGTAGGCGTCTGGGTACACTTTACCTTCCCTAAACCCCACATACGGATTGCACTGGGTTTGTGGACGTTGTAGTAACTTGTACAATAACTAAAAGACGTACGAAGTTACGATTTCTGTGATGCAGAATAAAACTTGAAGCTGGGCTAAAAAAACTATTTTCTTCCATTTGAAATAGAAAGGGACAACTAATCCACATACCAAACTTCCTAATCAGCGGCTGCAATAGGGATCTTTTCCAAGGGTGAAATCTATTATGACGCTACTAATACAAAATCTGAGACAGACAATAATAACAACTTCTAAAAACAATAGAAATCCTTTGATCTTTTAAAATCATCAAACAAATATGGCCTAGAAAATAACCAACATCCAAAAGTAACAACTTTTTTGCAGCCTGCTTTTAGCAGTTTGGAATCTAACACTAAATTAGAAGAGCGACACATTTGTACATGGCAAGACTCTGATCAAAAACATTTAATCTCTGTATAATGAATGTATTGGTAGAATGATCATACAAGTGTTGTGTATATCTGCCTCCTCAAAATGAGCAGTACAGTAGACTTCTGGGCAGGCATGCGAAATTATTCACATCTGCTTGCTATATAAATAGCTGACATTATAAGTAGCGATTTGATAGACAGATGCCTCAAAATGTGAAGTAGGTTACCTTACAAAACTCATCATCAGAAAGCATGGTCAAGCTAACATCTCTGGCCATATTTGAAACTTGAATTGAAGTCTCACTGTTGCATTTATCACTTGATCTGAGCTTGATTCCTGAAATACTCGCTTAAACAAGAAAGATGTCAGTTTTGAAAGCAAAATTGGTGCTCAAGATTAAAATTTCAATGGAAGATGAGAATAGGATTATGTTCACTGCCTCACTCTTTCCATCCCATATACTTGACTTGCCTGCTTCTTTCTCTTCCAAATTTGCTGAACTTCTTAAATAGATTGATTTATCTTATTTCATCACATCATATCAATTTTCTACTTCCCATTTATCAAAATCCTATTTGATTTATATTATAGCAACCTTTTTAGAATTCTCTCTCTCAACCTTTGGTGATAGTCAAACTAGGTCTTCAACTTTTCTTCTTTGGGCTAAGGAGAGTAAATTGTTTTTAGCAAAGAACATCATCCGTCACGAAAAGAGTACCATGATCTGGAACCAATCTGATTCTCTATGTGAATTCCAGCACTGTTGCTTTACAATTTTTAAAATATAATTACATATTTGAAGCTACATATTAGTTACTGCTAATCACAGTTACTTTGATAAAATCTAATCAACTTCTTTAACATATGGTAGTCAAAGAAAGAAACAATTTGACTACCCAGATAGTAATAATACCATACAACATGGGCAGACAAATTATAATAAATTGTAAAGGATGTTTATATACTCTAAAAAAATATAGAGGGTGTTAAGATTGAACTCTTCACTCAATATTAGCAACACAGCAATGACCAAAGGAAATTTCAGTTCATGGAAAGATGAAAAGAGTTCCGAGTTTCAACTTCTATTTCATGTGCTTGAACATACTATCAATGTCAAGTTATCAACAAAAAGTGTAGACGAAGATGATTGAGGAAACCATAAATCATTTATGTTAGAGAAAAAACAGGTGCTCTAGCTAATTAATGTCCAATCATCCAAAATCTCCGTATGGAAGACATTAGCATAATGCAGCATTCAGACATATTCACAGCAGTCCACCGAAGGATATTAGCAACTATAGACAAATCAAAGAAGGTAAGTCATTTGTTAAAACAACCTGCAATTTGCACAAGCTGATGAGAGTTACGCTGCTCATAATCACGTGGATCTAACTTGAGCCGAACAAAACTTCCTATAATCTTGGTTTCAACGGACTCAGGCTGCTTGATCATCTCCTGCACCAAGCTCCTCTTCAGGTAAACGAGTTTGATATTTTTAGGAATCAAGGCTGCAAATTGACTTTGTGCTGCACTTGAATACCAAATTGAGGACATCTTCTTTTGTTCAACCTTTTTCTCAGTTTTAGGAGCCACCAAAATTTCTGTGTCATCGACTTCGAGATCATGATCAAGCTCATCCTTTTGTAATTGCTCCTCATTTTCAAGAAAATGGCTTTCAAGGAGGCTAAATATTCTGTGTCTGTTTACCACTTTCTTCCCAAAAACAGCTTGTAACCGAGCATCACAAAGGATTCTTCTCTTTTTAACTGGATGGATTAGGTTATGTTCTTTTATATATTTGGTTACTATCGATGTCACATCATATTGGGATAATTTTTCTCTGGTATCTTGCCCAACAAACTGAAGAAAGTCAATTAGAGTTTTTGATCCCCATCCAACAAATACTTTTTTCTTTAGATTGACACTTCTTTGCATCTTTGTTTTATGCTGTATACATCTCTTCTTTTTAAGCCTTTTCTTCTGAGATTCTCTGTCACTGAAATCTTCATTGTCTGAAGAAATCTGATCATCCTCTTCTTCACTGTGTTCGTCCTCTTCTTCACTATGTTTATCTGAATCAGAGCTAATTTGGCTAATCTTCGCCTTGTTTAGTTTAGCCTTACCAGCAAGGAGACTATTCTTGTCAAATCCTTCTTTTTCTTTTACTATCTCGTAATACTCCTTGAAAAGGCCCTCGTATGTTTCCCGATCTCTGAGGTCTACGCTTTCCTGGAAAGCAACAATAATTCACAAGAGAGAATACATCACTCATCAACTAGAGGAAAAATAAAGCAAATAAGAGAGGAATATATATCAAGCAATAAAAGAAAGACTCCTCTAACTGAATATAGCCAATTAATAGTGATGAACACGTAAAATGTAATCTCACATGCTCATACAGAGTAACATAAGCTGTTAATCAAATTTGTGACATAACAAAGATCAATCGTGATAATATCCATCTCACATATTGCTAGATTACTGATCTTTGGCACTGGAAACTTATTTGGACGACCAAAATGCCTACCTGACCATCCGTTTTTGATGGATTGCTCTCCCAGGAAGCATGTTCAAGAAAAGTTAATCTCAAAAAAGAGGTTTTGATCTGGATAATAAATGATACATGAGTCAGAAAAGCACAAAAACAGTCAATACCTGCTCCTTCACTGCGCAGTGGCCAACAACCTATCACCTATGGATCATGCCACAAAATGTGAAAGAAGTCTAAGGCGTCATGCTATTAACATTCAAGCTGTTTGCCTGGGCTATTTCAGTAAATAGTTTCCATGACAAGTTCTCTTCGGGCGTGACAATAAACATTTCCAAAATAGTATAGTAACTAACTAGTTAATACTGAACCAAAAATTAAAGTTTCGGAGTAATCATAATAATCATGCATACCCCATCAGAATCAATACTTTTGTCTTCTTCCACAAGCAATGCGAGCTTTAGGCAGTTATTGCAGAATCCATGCTTCCCTTTAAGAAGGACAAAATTGATACGACCAATGCAGCGATAGCATACAGCTCTATCACAACAATAACACTGATAATTTGAACTTCTCTTGCAAACTAAGCATGTATGCCATCCTGGAACACGGTAAAACTGATATTACTTTTCGCACAACAATTTTTATTCTATTTATGAAAAGCAGCACATGACCAGCGAAACTAACAAGACAAAATAAGCCAACTCAAACTTCAAACATTTGAATGCAATCTACATTACAGCCCTTGGAGTTTGGCTTCCCTGGAGCCTGTGTGAACGCGGGAAGCTTCATGCACCAGACTACACTTTTAACCTAACATCTTTAAATGATAGCTGTAGGAATGTATTTTAGCAAAAGTTACCACTGATACGAATCCTCTAAACATTGTGGTTCGTCATTCCAAACAGTGGTGCAGTAATAACTTTGAGCCAAATTAAGCGATTAGATTTTTTCCAATATTGTTTTGTAATAGACAAACAAATTTTATTTTTCTAAATCAAACTCCAACAATCAAGAAAAATACAACTACAACAATTGCAGTTAAGTACTATTTAAGCCCTTTATATTCTCTTGGCTTATATGTATTAATTATATTCTTATCAAGCATACAACACACGTCCGCTAAAGGAACCTATCCCTGGAGAATTTAGGTTGCGGATAAGTGATGAAATTCAAACTTGTATCTACATATTAGGTTTCGAGCTTAACGATGTTCTTATGAAAATTTATTTATACATGTAGAAATAGCAAAGACAGTTTATTTTCCAGTGATTATTTCACAAATCTCAATACAACAGTAACTCAAAATTCCAATTGCCTTTTTCACTCGATATAAACTATGTTCTTTCATGCTCAACTTTGGCTAGTCAAAATCAATAAACTAGCAAAAGGAAAAAAACCACTCAGACAAAACAAAAGGAGAAAGATAAAATAGAAATATTAAATTTGCTTGAAGAAGGATGAATTAAGATGCTTGCCACATGTCCAATAGATATCACTTGTCAAGACTGAGTCATCTTTCCCCACACATACAGGGTGATAAGCTTTCAAACAGTCCCTGCAAAGTCAAAAATACATTATCAGTAGAAGTCCATGTAGAGAAAGAATCACCAAGTCACAGGATGACCATCAGCAGTACAGGTATTCAGTCACAGTCAACTACTTTCAATCCTTTGAATTTCAAAAACGAGATGAAAGGAAAGACACTGCAATCGTGACAGGAACGAATGAATCCCACCAAACTGAATTTCGCTTTGTAGTGAAGGTACTTACATTTGTTAAATTAGAGGACATTCAAATCATTACTTCATTAAAACACAGAAGTGCTTTAGTAGCATAAGTAGTGTGCCCGCGTTTATCGGAGATGCACAATTTATTTTGTCAGCACTTTCACTTTCTCAATTGCACATGACCTCAGTTGTTCATTAGATAGAGAGAGATTGGTTTCAATTTTTGTACCATATTAAACCAGAGACATTAACTGGAACGCGTAATGAATACCATTGCAGAGTACCAAGCCAGAAGAGAAAAGGCTAGCAAAAACAAAGACTACCTAGCTAATTTCTAGGCCATATACTGCTTATATCATTGATTTTCTGAAGCTTTAAACATGAAATTATATAAAAAGAAAAGCAGTGCTCATCTCAAAAGATGAATGACCAGCAAGTAGAGCACGAGTTTAAAGAATCACAAGCCACTCTAGCATCCAAGGAGTTATAGATTTTATTGTGCTTTATATAAGTCACAAGTAGAGCAGAAAACTGAAAGAACCAACTTGTTTATAACATGACATTATAAACATGCAAGCAAGCTTGACTTTATCCAAGAAATTTATTGGTTTATCAAACAAGAAAATATATTTATTTGTTTTGATTAATGGAGAAACACTGAAGAGTCAGCCATTGCACAATTTCAAAAAAAAAAACAATACACTAACAAGTAACAGATGACCAAGAACCTAGGATTCCAAAAAAAAAGGGGCAATTTTAACTTTAAATTGGAAAATGCGTCCTTTTCAAGCCAGATAAATTAATAATTAAAGTTTCCAAACAAAATGTCCCACGTTTTCATCCAGAAAAATAAAAATATAATTTTTACATTCAAGACCAGCTTTAAGATAATTTCATTTGTTCCCAAAATAAAATTGATTTATTTTAATTATTTAGGAAGAATAATTTACCCATAATCACAAATCATAAGGTTTCCTCCGTCTTTGCATTCGAAACACCAATCTTCTGCAATTTCTGTTTTGTTCAAAATCGTCCTATGCCTCTTCTTTGCCATTTATACCAGACACCTATTTCACTGTAATCAAGAAAAAGCCCCTTGTTTAGTTCATACAAAAAAAAGGACCAACCATTCTTGGTGTAAAATTTTGCAGAAATAGTATATACATTGAAAGATAAAGAAAACCAAAACCAAGAACAACAATCCACTTAATTCTAAAGAAACCACAAGAACTCATAACAAAAAATTCTAAAAAAAAACAAAAAAAACCAATGAATCATAACAAAAAATCCAAAGAAACCCCAAGAATCATAACAATTTTTTCAAAAGAAATCCCAAGAACAATAACAAAAAAAAGATCTAAGGAAACCCCAAGAATCATGATAAAAACTTCTAAAAAATCCCAAGAAGTCCTAACAAAATTTACAGATTTTCAAGAATTCTGACACCCATTAACCTAAAACCTATTAATGTTGTTCTGATCAACTAAAAGATGTTCAAAATAATCATAAAGAAAAAAAAACAGCTTTACATGGTACACCTTGTTCAACATAAAACTGAAAACTTTTACTCTGCTATAACAGAAACACAAAACTGAAAACTTTTACTCTGCTTTTAACATTAACTCATTGAAGAGAGAAATGGGGTAGAGAAAGTTTCGCTGAAGAGTCCAATTTTCAAGAAAGTTTTACTTATTGAAACTGAGAGCAATCTATTCTTGGATTTTACAGTAATGGCTGACACACTCTACAGAAGAATGAAAACATTTGTCAGTTCAAAAAGAGGACGATCAAAACAATGTTTACCACACTAATTGATTCTTTTTAATAAAATGTTTGAGTAAATATCGCAAACACCCTTTAAACTATTTATATTTTATCAATTTAATACTTTTTAAGAGTCCTTTAAAAGGAATAATTCATAGAATGTAGAGTCATTTTGTTTCGTAGAAATACTTAATTTTATCAATTTTATTTCGTAGGAATATATATACACACGCATTAAAATTTAATTTTTTTTGTTATTTAACTAAATTCATTGATTTTTTTCTCTACTTCATAGTTACAATATTGATTTTTTTTTAATTTTAAATCAAACTAAAATTTAACATTTTAAAGATGATCTAATTCGAAAATGGATCAATAATAATGGAAGGGGCAGTATCAATTTAGCGACTTGCCTAATTTAATTATAAATTAGGAGTATTCAATAATGTTAATTTTAATTTAAAAAATTAAATATTAAAACATATATAGACTGTAAAATTTAGTGGCATTGGAATCTGGTTCATCTTCTGTCGATTGACATAAATCCATCAAGCCGTCACTTGTAACAATTTTCAGTAAAAAAATAATCTCCTTTTTATTTAAAAAAAGAATTTTTTTCAGTTACATTTTATTTTTAACCTTTATAGATGACATATTTAAGGTTATAAATTTTAATTTAGGATTATAAGATTTTAAAAAAAAATTATTTATTTTAATTTTATGTCAAATCAAATTAGATCATTTTTTATAAAATGGAGGAAACATAAACTTTCAAAAATTATATTTAGCGGGACACTAATTTGACACAAATTGACAAGAGCAAATTAATTTTAAACAATTAAGTAAATTCATTTATTTCTTGTATCCAAAATATCTTTAAAAGTAAAATCACTTTGAATATATCAAAATTATTTTTCCTAAAAAGTGAAGTCACTTCTGAAAAGTCCAATAAATAATTATTTCTTTTCGGTTTACATTGTCCAAGAAATTAGAATCCCGCTCAAAAAAAAGTGTGTTAAAATTTTGGTTTCTTTCTCCTTTACCTTATATTACATATCTTCTTCTACTCCTTTTTTTTTTCTCTACGTTTCTTCATAATTTTTTTACTATTCTTAGTAAATATATTTATTCGTCAAACTAGAAAACTTCATATATTTAGTAGTGTTTTGTTCGTAATTTAGTTGATCATTTTTAAAATTAAACAAAAATAAATTTAATTAATTTGATTTTTCAAATGTTAAAATCAATTTAAATTAATTAAGTTGATTTTTCATCACTTTAAATTTTTTTTATTTTTCTTGCTATTTGATTTTTGTGGACTTCTCAAAAATATGTGATACTATAAATTTTGATAACGTCCATATATGAAATCGATCAAAAAATAAATTATTGCATTTTAAGAAATATGATAAATTATTTCCAACAATTTTGCTATTTTTTTACAATATTAAAGATGACGATATATTAAGATATATTGTTAATATTTTATTTAAATAAAAATAATTAATTAAATTACGAGTTATTTTCAACAAGAAAAAGTACTATCAACATTATCAAAATAAATATATAAATTAAACAAAAAAGTAAATGCAATAAAATTTGATAATCATAAAGAGAAACGCATGAATACTAAAAATGTCTAATCTTTTATCAACGAAGACACAAATTAATTTAGTCTCACAAACACTTCTTAAAATATATTAGTCATATAAAAATCATTTTTCAAATGAATTAGTCAAATACGATTATTTTTTAAAAAACACGTTAAAAACTATTTTAAAAAGATACTTATAAAAATATCAGTATTTAGTACGAATATCAAGTAAACTTTCGTATAGACGATTCGTAAATAGGAACGGAGGGAGTATCAAATATGATATTCCTTTTAATCCTATTTATATGCCATCATTGCTTAAATAGGTGATTCTTAATACTCCTTATATGTTCACTTTTACTTGTCGCTTATTCCTAAAATACATTTTTACGGATCACTTTTGAAATATCAAGAAAAAACAGTAATTCTTTTCATGTTTTGCCTTAGCATTAAATATTTTTTATATCATTTTTCATGACTTGCTACTAATTATTAGTTAGTAGGAATAAATACTTATATCAATAATTATTTTATAAACGGGTGTGTCAAGTCAAACAATGACAAGTAAAAATGAATGGCTAAATTATTGGTCGTTTCACAAAATCAATGCGTAAAATGACAATATTCTTCTTGTTTTATTCTTGAGTTACTCCTTCCTTCCAGTATTATTTGTCATGTTGCGTTTTTCGAAAGTCAATTTGATTAATTTTCAAAGTTAAATTATATTACATTAATTTAATATTTCAAACAAACAAAAAATAGATATTCTAAAACTATATGAAAAATACTATAGATTACAATTTTTTGCATATTAACATGATAAAAAAAATACATCTTAAAATGTTAGTCAAAATTTTTATAGTTTAACTTTAAAAATAAAAATCAAGATAAACAATACCGGACGAAGAAAGTATTAATTAGAAAAACTAAACGATTAATACATGTTCTTTGATTATTTAATTAATCAAATTAAACTAATTTACATTCATTTATTAAAAAAAAGTTACTAAATAATCATACATTAATAAAATCGCTTACTTTGTTAAGAAAAGTGAAATTTAAAATAACGACATATCATAATAACAGAGAGAGTATTTGTTACACTTAGCTTTCACATATCGTTGACGGATTACTTCTTTTGGGGGAACACGATTTCCTCCTAATTTCCACAAACTGCCATTTTTCATTGAGATACGTCAATTTTTACCACAGTAGTATTTTTATAAATTTAAACATTATTTAATTTTAAAAAATTATTTAAATAAATTGGTCAATTTGATGTTGAAAGGCAAAATGAGACAAATACTCTTTTCGTTTTATTTTACGTGATATTTTTAAAATTTTAAGATTCAAATAAAAAAAATTTAACCTTAAGTTATTCATCGATTTTTAAAGTATTTTCAAAAATTATCTATTATTGTGACTTATAATATTTTTTTACGTATATTACAAATATATAATTTCATTTAAAAAAATTAAAGATTTCATGTATAAATTTCTAATCACACTTAAATTATTTTACTCTGAAAAAATAAAAAATGTTATGTAAATTAGATATTTGACTCATATGTTCGTATATATCATGAATAACCAAATTAAATATTTGATGATATGATTTATGATTATTTTTTTATTATTTTAGCTTAAAATCAAATATTGATGAACATCTTTAAAAAAATAAATATTACTCAAATATTTTGAAAATATTTTAAAACTGTTTTGACTTTAAAACACTTAAAAATATCCAAACATACGCGTAAAATATGTCCTGTAATGATAGTTTGTGAAAGCAATTGGAAAATTGAAAATATCTGTCACAACTAAAGGGAAAACGAGGACGTAGAAGATATGTGTCAATACGATCATCAATTTAATATAAACATCAAATGTGATTGAATTTATTTCCAACATAAAATACATAAAAAATTCTTTGATGAAAAAATATTGATAGAAAACCTTAAAAATATGAATGAAAACAATAATATATATACACTGAGTGTGATTTTACAAGTGAAGTTTTGATAGATAGAGATATTATTTGAGATAAACCCTAGTTTAAGGAAAATCGCATTAAAGAAGCGATTAGACGAAAAGTGAAAAAATCATGTCAAAATACTAGAAAAAACATGACAAGAGATTTTTTTTTTAAAAAAAAGAACCGTTAGTAGATAGTAATAGAAATTAAAGGACAACAAGAAATATCATCACTACTAAGTAACACTCTACTATCTACTACAGTAATATTTTACCATAATATATACTTTTTTCCATATTTTTATTTTCGATTAATTAAAATTATGTCATATATTATCTGATCACCTCTGTTCGAAAATATGAATGAAAACAAAATAATGAATAGTCTAATACTCAGTATGCAAATCATTTACTCACTGATTTAAAACAAAAAGTAAAGTTATTCAACATAAAGTACAATAATTCACATCCCTAAGTAGCCTCCTTATATATTAAAGAGAGAAAATTCACCTAGTCTATTTACAACTTCCTCAAAAAAAAAACATGATTTTCTTGGAAATTTTACAAGTAATTCCTCACATTGATCCAACTTTCTGATAATTCCAAGTCCATTTCCCCTCCTCTTGTTGAGTTCCAAAACCCGCGATCGCGTAATGCATTTCCACTCGTATATTCATCTTCATCACTTGACGATAGATCATCTGAGAAATCCATCTCGGAGAAAATTCCACCGTCTAAAACACTAGCAGGTGTACTAGCAACTTTAAAATTGTTGTTTTTTACTGAAGTACCCTTTGAAACAAATGGATGATGAAGCAATTGTTCAACATTCCACCTCTTTTTACTATCCCTTTCCAAACATTTAGCCAAGAAATCCAAACCAACATCAGAAAAATTTGATGGAAATTGTGGCATTTCATTAGTACAAGCAATTTTCATCACTGCAGCCAGGGGATTTGTACATATATCACCTCCCCATGGTGTTTTCCCCGTCGCCATTTCGATGATTGTGCAACCTAATGACCATATATCAGCAGCAAAATCTAACTCTTCATTCCTCAGAATCTCTGGTGCCATCCATAAAGGTGTGCCACCAGTAGACTTTGATAGAGATTTTGTGTTACATTTTACCTCATGATAATAGTCTTTTATTCTTTTTGCACATCCCAAATCTGCTAACTTGATTTCTCCACTACTACCTAACAATATATTCTTACACTTGACATCACAATGCACTATTCCATTTTCATGAAGATATCTCAAACCTTTTAATATCCCTTTTGTGTATAAACAAATAACTTCTTCATCTAATGACCCACCAAATTTCTCTGCTACATCAGCTAAACTTCCTCCTGTCATAAATTCAAGAAAAAGACTCAACTTTCTCTTACCATTTGCTTCAAAAGACAAATCTTTACCTATGAATTTAACAATATGTGGTGAATCC